GTCGCTAATGGCGACCGCCTCCGATGCCATGGGCTCGCTCGGGACGTTCCCATTACTATCGGCGACGAGCACTTCACCATCACATGTGCCGGCATCGACTTGGGCTGCTTCGACTTCATCCTCGGCGTCGACTTTTTGCGGACTCTCGGTCCCATCCTTTGGGACTTCGACACCCTGACGATGACTTTCTGGCGCCTCGGCCGCCGCATCCGGTGGGAGGGCGTTGGCGGCACCCCGGCGTCGCCCCCACTCCAGCTAGCCGCGGCCACCACGGAGGCCGAGCATCCGCTGCTGGATCACCTCCTGCAGCAGCACGGTGATCTTTTTGCGGAACCCCAGGGCCTTCCGCCGGCCGGGGTCTACGACCACCGTATTCATCTCCTGCCGGGCTCGGCTCCGGTGGCAGTACGGCTCTACTGGTACCCTCAGTTGCAGAAGGATGAGTTGGAGCGGCAGTGCGCCATCATGCTTGCCGCGGGCATTATCCGTATCTCTACATCACCCTTTACGGCGCCGGTCCTCCTCGTACGTAAGTCGGACGGCACTTGGCGCTTCTGCATCGACTACCGCGCCCTTAATGCTCTCACACTTAAGGATAAGTTTCCTATTCCGGTGGTCGACGAACTCCTGGATGAGCTACATGGTGCGCGCTTCTTCACCAAACTGGACCTCCGGTCGGGGTATCATCAGGTGCGCATGCATCCCGACGACATCGCCAAGACGGCGTTCCGGACCCATCACGGCCACTTCGAGTTCTTGGTGATGCCCTTTGGCCTCGCCAACGCCCCGGCAACATTTCAGGCCTTGATGAACGATGTCCTCCGGCCCTACTTACGTCGGTTTGTGCTCGTTTTCTTTGATGACATTCTTATCTACAGCGCCTCTTGGGCAGAGCACCTCCAGCATGTGGCCATCGTCTTCAACGAGCTTCGGGCGCATCATCTTCATCTTAAGCGCTCGAAGTGCTCGTTCGGGACACCTTCGGTCGCTTACCTCGGCCACGTCATCTTGGCCGAGGGTGTGGCCATGGACGCCGACAAGGTGGCGGCCGTCGCCGCCTGGCCCATTCCGCAGTCTCCGCGGGCTCTTCGCGGCTTCCTTGGTCTTGCCGGGTACTACCGGAAGTTCATCCGGGAGTTTGGCCTTATCGCGGCCCCGCTCACGCGTCTCCTCCGCCGCGACGCCTTCTCTTGGGATACGGAGGCCACTTCAGCGTTCGAAGCCCTCAAGGGGGCCCTTACGACGGGACCCGTACTGCAGATGCCGGACTTCGACCTTCCCTTCACCGTCGACTGCGACGCTTCCGGTGCGGGGTTTGGTGCGGTCCTGCACCAGGGCGATGGACCCCTCGCCTTCTTCAGCCGCCCCTTTGCTGCCCGCCATCTTAAATTGGCGGCGTATGAGCGTGAGCTCATTGGGTTGGTGCAGGCAGTACGCCATTGGCGGCCCTATCTTTGGGGCCGTTCCTTCCGGATCCGCACGGACCACTACAGCCTCAAGTTCATGCTAGATCAGAGGCTCTCGACGGTTCCCCAGCACCAGTGGATCAGTAAACTCTTTGGCTTTGATTTTACCGTCGAGTACCGGCCGGGTCGCCTCAACACCGTCGCCGACGCCCTGTCTCGGCGTGACGCCGATGTGGACGATGGTGCGGCGCAAGGGGCTGCCTTCTGCATCATCACCGGGCCCTCTTTCACCCTCTACGCCGACATTCGCCGGGCGAACGCTGCCGCGGCCGACGCCCTCCTCCTGCAGCAGCAGCTGGCGGCGGGCGAGCTAGAGGAGCCGTGGCGTCTAGCCGACGGCCTGCTTCTCCACGGGCGCCGCGTCTTCGTTCCGGACCACGACGTTCTTCGTCAGCAGGTGCTGCGTCTCGCCCACTCGGCGGGCCATGAGGGCGTGCAGAAGACGCTACATCGCCTCCGCGCCGACTTCTACATTCCAGGTGATCGTGCCCTGGTCCGCGATTGGGTACGGTCTTGTGTGACGTGCCAGCGCAACAAAACGGAGACCCTGCGACCAGCTGGTATGCTTCAGCCCTTGGAGGTCCCGTCTCAGGTTTGGGCGGACATCTCCATGGACTTCATCGAGGGCCTTCCCAAGGTGGGCGGCAAGTCCGTCATTCTCACGGTGGTCGACCGCTTCTCCAAGTATGCTCATTTCATCGCCCTTGGCCATCCATATTCAGCGGCATCTGTCGCGCGGGCCTTCTTCGATGGCATTGTCCGTCTCCACGGGTTCCCTTCTTCGATCGTGAGTGATCGAGATCCTGTGTTCACGGGTCATGTATGGCGCGACCTCTTCCGACTGGCAGGCGTGAAGCTCCGCCTGAGTACCGCCTTCCACCCTCAGACAGACGGCCAGTCTGAGATCGTTAACAAGGTGATTGCCATGTATTTGCGTTGTGTTACAGGTGATCGCCCTCGCGCATGGGTGGACTGGCTCTTATGGGCGGAGTACTGCTACAACACCTCTTACCACTCCGCCCTCCGTGCTACGCCCTTTGAGGTGGTGTATGGCCGGCCACCCCCGCCGATTCTGCCGGTTGATCCAGCCTCGGCGCGGACCGAGGCAGCCGGGGCTCTTTTGAGGAGCCGTGATGAGATGCTCGCGGAGGTCCAGCAACGACTCCTCCAGGCCCAGCAGTTGGCCAAACGATACTATGATGGCCACCATCGCGAGGTGGAGTTCGCGGTGGGTGATTGGGTCTGGCTGCGTCTACTTCATCTCTCTACGCAGTCATTGGACCCCCGCGCGAGGAAGAAGCTCGGTCCTCGCTATGCCGGTCCCTTTGCTATCCTAGAACGCATTGGCAAAGTGGCGTACCGTCTTCAGCTTCCGGCAGGTGCCCGGATCCATGATGTCTTCCATGTCGGGCTGCTCAAGCCTTTCCGCGGCGATCCACCCGCGGCACCACCGGCGCTTCCGCCGCTCGCGGACGGGCGTCTCCTTCCTGCACCGGAGAAGGCGCTGAAGGCTCAGCTGCGCCGAGGCTCCTGGTACGTGTTGATTCGGTGGGCTGGACTACCAGAGGAGGACGCTACTTGGGAGCAACGCGAGGAGTTCCGCCAGCACTACCCCGACTTTCAGCTCGAGGACGAGCTGTTTGCGCAGGCGGGGAGAGATGTTATGACCGGCCAGGTCTATGGCCGCCGGGGGCCCACTGGGCAGGCTTAAGGCCCAAGTTATCTTAGTTTATTTTCAGATTATGATTATATATACAAGTTGTAAGACTATTTTGAGGATTAAGCAATAAGACTATTCTATTGCCCGGCTCCCAGAGGAGCCGGAACCCTAAACCCTAGCCTCTCCCTCTCCTTCGCCGCCGCCACCCAGCCGCAAGGACAGCGCCTCGCCGCCGGCCGCCGCGTTCTAGCCCACGCCCCGCTCCCTCCTTTCCCTACCACCTACGACCTAGAGGAGCCCGAACCCTAGCTCCTAACAGAATGCTGTGTGAAAACAAAATAAAAATGAATTCTAGTCATGATATTGCCCACTGATCACCTCATCACAAACAAAAGTCATCCAAAACATGCCATCACCGGTAACAGTCAGTACAATGAGCAGAGTAACTTATAAAATGACACTGAATACAGCAAGTAGGTGAGATAAACACCAGTTAAGAACTTAAGATCATGATAGTTAACAGTGATTGTGATTTTACTAATTTTAGATTTAGATATACTCTTTTAAATGGTAACAGGCATAGTGACCGAGATATAGCTCAGCTATAGAAAGCAGAAAAATCTGCAAACGTCTCAAACAAAATCAAATTACTACTAGTTTATGGATTGATAGACCCAATCGTGATCTCACAATGCACTTTTGAATAGTAGATATCAAAATGGAAGTAACCTAACCTGTCTGTGTAAAAATTGCTGTGTTGATACCAATCATGTGCCCTTTCGAATCTAGCAAAGGACCACCACTGCATCGAGATTCATCAGGCTATATGGTTAGTAAAATCCTTTGTAAAACATTTTGGATGATATGTGCTAAGATCCAGACTATTATGCTATATGATCAGTATGCCAACTACCATAGCAGGAATTTAACTCCAAGTTTATGTGTCCCGTCTTATGAACTCTGATACTAATCACTTACAAAAGAACAACATTTAATACTAGTTTTGTCTGTGTACCAATATAGACCTTTCATGTTTTGCAATTTTTTGTTTAGTAATGTGGTATTGAATAAGAATATAAACACCATAATTGTCAAGTTAGGTGAAACCAGTAACACGTATGCCTAGGAATGTCTAACTGTAAGTGACAGATGATGAAATATAAAGATTTGCCAATCCTCAAAGCAGTGTCACTAGCAGTAGTTTCTACTTTCTACACAAGTTCTGAAATCAGAAATGTCCAGGCCTCCCCTGAAATTTTCAGTTCAAAAAAGTTCTGGAATTTGAAATGCAAAATTTGCTATGAATTGCTCCTGATTATACGAAATTTGGTGATTATACCATCTCCACAAACCTGTTCCCAGGGTTAATAGCTGCATCTGTTTGAATCCCACCTCCAATTGTCACTCCAGCTTGACTAAATATATCTCGATTTAAACCACTGATAACACCAACAGTCAGAGTATGGTCAAAACCAAAAGGATTTCCAATTGCTAAGCATTGCTGACCAACTTTTAGAGCTGAGGACTGCCCCACAATAATTGGCTTCAAGATATCTGAAGGGGCGTCCACCTATCACATATGTACATGCCAATATATGAGATTCACAAAGAGAAAATGCTCAGTGGGATGTTTTATGAAGCGAACTATAGAAACAATTTAAGCAACATACATAACTATGATTAACTAAAGATGAACTCAGGTGAATATCAATAAACTGGCACTGGACATGCTCCAGAACTGGTTTGTGACTGCCTTCTTTTGTACTAACAAGATTAAACATTCTAGCCCTTGCAATGCATGTCCATGAACCAGATGGGGATAGGGTGAGCACAATGTTAGCAGGTTAACATAATCATCTTGGCACTCTAAAATACCATGGTGACATTCCCAATATAGATGAAACGACAAGACATACAGAACGGCGTGTAATCTCAATCTCTAATATGACTCCGCAATCCTTTGGTCTCATAAGTCAACTCTCATTTTTATATCCATTTCACTGGAATCACGTCATGTCACTCATAACTAAAGAAACAAGATAAACTAGTTGCATGCTATCTATTTAGCATCGAACGGGCAACAGGAAATCGAGGAACAGAAAACAAAACTAATTGACAAGGAGTCATGGTGAAAGTATAAATCATTAAGTGATTTAAGTCTCTACTGACCAACCCCAGTCACTCCCATTTTGAAGTTTGTTCGCTCTCTTTTTTAGCTTTATGTGGCATGAGTATAAATAAATTTCATTAAATAGTTAATTTCAGAATACGGAGGGAGTAGTTCTCTATATAAGAGCATCAGCATTTTTAGTTAAACCATACCCTTGTTCAGAACAGTTAGTCAGAAGAAACTTTTACCTTAAGGACAGCAAGATCTTTAGCGCGGTCTGCACCAATCAATATTCCTTCGAAATTTTTCTGTATCCTTTCAAGCAGATATAGGAGAGTATTTACTGTTAATTGGCACGCATATACAAGGAATAGTAATGCCCCCAACAAATTTCATGGAAAATTATACTACCAAGTGCAGTTATATAAGAACTTACCCTTCGGCAGCAAGAATGTTGACACGTGCGACAACTTCACCAAGCTTTGGATTTTTCGAAAGAGCATTGCCAACCACTATAATCATACCAACATCGTGAACACATGCATATATCAAAAGTAAATTCAGTGTACTGTGTACAAGGGAAAAGAGTTGCACTGTAAAGTAGGCATGAGAGGAGTAGGTTGTGTTGTTCATATATGGTAGACATATATAACCATGTGATTGACATACCATGATAATTTGTAACAATATGACCAGACTCATCCCAAACAACTCCAGAACCATTTCCTTCTGGGATCTACAATGAATATTAAAAACTTTCTTTCAAACAAGAGCTTCTCACATCTTTTGAAATTTTGTGTCATCTAGAAAGTACATAAGCAAAAGATATCCAAGAATAAATCAGCAATTATTAGCCTTCTAGTGTTTCTAGGAGCATACCCAGACACCCTTGGTCTAAACTTACAATATTCAAGCATGCGTGCAGTTTACCTCAACAACCCCTGTTACATTGAGCTGGGGGCGCAGTGTCGCATCAAAAATGTTGACCACTGAGTAAGTATTTGTTTCAAAAAGCTCTGCGATCCGTTTCTGTTGCACAGGCAGCAAAATTCAAAGAAATGTAAATATGGTGTGAGAACAAGTAAATAGGGTAAGGTTGATTCAACAGAGTACTGAGTAGCGACCTCGGTTGGAAACAATGGACCAGATGGAAATATCTTTGGAGTAACATCCTCAATTTTGACGGTTGGATCACCCAAAGCAAGTGCTGTGATAATAATAAGAACATACCAAGTTATAGAAAGTTCACAGACACAATAAACCGACACTGTTACAGGAGTAAAATAATCTGGTACATGAAAAGACATGGGATTAATTTCTATTAACACCTAATTACCATGTCACCTAGTCCGAACCTGATAAGTACCTTGAAGAATGTAAGCAAAGGCAAAAGGCCGAAAATGCAAGAATCTTCCTCTTTGACGCAAACAGCAGTGTTTTGCTTGAGATTTCAGAAAGTTCACATGTTTCCCTTAACCTGGACGAAAATTCACACACATATTAGCAGTTGCGTTGTTTATTAGAAGTTCAGCTCAAGTATACTGTTTGTTAGAAGCTACAGACAGTGATAATTTTCCGGGAAAAAAACTCTGAGTTATGATACGGAATATGGATGGAATTATCTAATCTGACTGCATGATTGTGCTCTTGACAACAGCGTAGTCCGAAAATTTGCAGAAATGCAGCGAGAGGTGCGCTCACCTCGGAGGCGTTCCTTCCACGTTGCGGTCTGCGGAGGCGATGCAGTCGACAACCACTCTCCGGCGGCCGAAGCGCCTTCCAGGAGCACGAGCGGCGGCCGCTGCAGCGGGCGCGGCGCAGGCGAGGCAGTGCATCCGATAAATGGGGGGAGTCTGTAGTCCGGGCCAAGCGTGTGGCGTGGTAGAGTTCAGACCATGGTGATATGTGGGGAATTTGCGGTTGGAGAAGGGACGACGTTTCACATTCAAGTCCACGACGTATGTTGTTATTGCATATCTGGATGCATCACACAAGGTCAGCTAAATTCTAAGTTTATCTCTCTTTATTTCTTACGAAAAAGATCAAATCTGTTATAAACTTCACCGGAATCACAAAGCATCTTAAACATAATAAAAATTACATCAAGATTTCGAGATCACCAAGCGACCACTATTGTCGTCAGAACAAGCCCCTGACGCGCCGATGTCGTCACTTTCCTACCAGAGTCGGCTTGACCTTGTCGATGACAACGGGAATTCTAAATTTTTCTCGGTTCCATACTTCCATATTTATACTTGCGAGATAGTTACACTTTGGATTCCCCCGAAATAAGGTTACAATTTGAAGCACATTCTACTTTTTTTTCTTTTTGTCATTTGTTTTGGCGCTCTCGTCGCTGCCGCCCTTCGCTTTGTTCTATCATGCCTTGATCCTCACTCACTCATGTTTGACCATATAGGGCATGTATTTACTTATATGTCTCTAACGATGGAATGATTGATGTTTCTTAATCCAGCATAACAGCATCATATCTCACCTCATACCACCCTTGCTTCTTACTTCCACGTGCCCTGACTAGAAGGGCCAGGGTTTGCGAACATTAACCGATGACTCGAGTCCGTCCACTATGCGGATACACATCATCAACGAATACAAGACAAGTATGTCACCATATGTATTAGGTTCAGTCGCATTTGAGGAGCACCAGGTAGTCTATACCGACTCGGATTCCTTGTAACCCTAGCCTTGTCCACCTATATAATACGGGCTATGACATATGATCATTATATTTTCATAGCCAGCTTAGGTCCAATATCATTGTAAAACCAAACATGCTTGCACAAAACCCTAACTTTATACGAGGCAACCATCAATGCAAGTCACAAAGGTAAGTAGAGTATTACCTCCCTCAGAGGGCATGGGCCTAGGCATATCTTCGTCTCGTGTGTATCCCTCTAAATTCTTCGTGCGTACATCACCCCATGTTCATTATTGCCATAAAAAGACAAACATAGTGTGGTCAGGCTAGACCTACATTACATTGAATATGCGCCAGAGAAAGACATGATGTGGCGAGCAATTATATATAAGTGTGAGCTTCATGCCATTTTGACAAACAAGTGGAACCAATATAGCAGGACCATGTCAATCTACTGAAAACATGATTCAAAGTGAAATTGGTGGTCTATAATGTGGTTCAAAGTTTTACAGAAGCTAAATATGATTTAAGTGTCACCGTGTCATAGGTACATGGTTCATGCTGAAATGAACTCTTAAATTCATTTCATACATCACTAGATTACTTGTAACGGTGTTTGTGAGGAAATTTCACTCTGCTTGTCATGATCCAAGATTCTTTTTTTACTCACATTGTGTTCTTTAAGTGAATCGTTAAACATATCCCCCCAACTATGGCCTGATAAAATTGTCAAAAGAAATTGTACAAAAAAAGTATACAATAATAACACACACACACACACCATAATTTTTAAGAATAAAATTAAAAGCCTTTGAACCATAACAAGAAAACAAAATATAGTTGAGGAAGTGAATTTGCAGCGGCACCGCCTTGGATTCAAGTCTCACCGTGTGATTTTGACACTTACTCCCTCCGTTCGGGTTTATTAGGCCCGAAGACAAGATCGACAGGACCAAGAAACCTAGTAATTGTCCTTGATTAAGGTGAAAATTCCCAGTGTTTAATTGTGACGTACGTTTCGATAGCCATGTAATTTAATGCACACTCTAAGTAATCCAGCCAGCAGCCCAGAGTTCACGCGCATGCTGATTCATGGTCGCTAGCATGGCCAATCTGAAGACTAGGAGAAGCGCATGCGTCTGTTTAGGTCGCTGCATGCAATGTGCTACTCCCTCCCTTCCCAAATATTTGTCTTTCTAGAGATTTCAACAAATGATTACATACGGAGCAAAATGAGTGAATCTATAGTCTAAAATATGTCTACGTGTCCATTTAAAATGCCTAGAAAGACAAGTATTTGGGAACGGAGGGAGTAGTTAATTTCTCTCGGTCCTCTGGAACTGAATGAGTTTGATTCCAAGAAAATTAATTAGAAGGGCCTTATAAATCGGGACGTACTATTGTGGCTGAGAGACCTAATAAACCCGGACAGAGGGAGTAATGCGTAACTTAAATGTTTATCATAAAAAAATGTTTGCAAAAAATTACATTTTTTAATGAATCCAAAAATGAATAATTTTTATTTCTAAAAAATAATGCCAAATAAGGAAACCAGGAATAAAAGTGATATTTTGCCCTTTTACTATTTTCAGTTTTGGTATCTAAAACTGTTTTACTTTTAGATATCACGATTTATTCATTTTTTAAATTTTTAGATGTCTTGCTTTAATTAGTAGATTTGTTTTTTCAGGGTAGACCGGTAGATGCTTTAGTTTTGAGCAAGTTATTTTTAGGGTAAATCAATCATCACATTCTCCGTGCAGTCAGCGCCCCGCGACGTGGGTTGAATTTATATTGTGTTTGAACTTTGAAATCAAATCTCTAGCCTTGTGGCAACGCGTGAAGTATCTCTAGTAAAAGTGACATTTTGCCCTTTTACAGTTTTTTCAGGTTTGGTATCCAAAATAGTTTTACTTTTAGATATCACTAGTAAGCATGCACGTGCAACACACGTCTCAAACGTAAAACAGGTGAATTGACATAATATAAAAAAATAAACGTTTTTAAAAATATAAATCAAATGGATACACAATGTTTGATGTCGCTCAAATTGTATTTTCAAAAGAAGACACAATAGTGGTTATGTTGCTGCATAGAGTAATAGCAGGAAAATATTCTCATTTAAATAAAATCAGCAACTATTTATTAATGCAGTAATATAGGCATGTAGTATAGTCTTCTCTTCGAGTGTAGCCAGGAAAAAAAAATATAAACTGCCTTACGGTGCAATCATATTGTTCAAGATGCTTAATTCTCGAATTTTATTTTATTCTACTAATCTGCATAGCAAAATATATATTTGTACTAATTTGGATCAAATTATATATTTTTTTTGGTTGTGTGGACTGCCAAAAGTATATAGCTACCTACTATGAATAATAGGAAATAGAAGATGATATGTGACTACAACGACTTCTATATGAAATAAAGATGATTTACAAGAACTAATTGAAATGTAAAAGGGCTAAAAGAAATCCAATAATTATCATGATAGAAAATATTTATCTGGTTTTGTATGTGTTTATGCGTTGGCAACCATACTAACTTACAATGATGTAAGACGTTTTGTACGTATAGAAACTGAAATGAGTTATGAAGAAAAATAAAGATCGAAGGAAAAGTATTCTAGAGTATTTGTCAAGCTTAACCTTATCAAGCTTTCAGGTCACCTTCTAAATTACAAAAAAAATGATGAATCCTCAAATAAGAAAGAGCCAACAATTTGGAACATGCTACAAAACTGGTGAAGATAGAAAGCATTCATCCTCTTTTTCCTTGTCGTAAGGAGTAGCTTCAGCATACATTTGTAACAATGTAATACCTGATCCGGAAAAAGTTGTTCATTATTATTATTGGAGGAAAGAGGTGCGCAGACAAAAAAAGAGAGGCGGTGCAAATAAGGCCTTAAACAACATGTCTTCAAGTTTGATGATTGCAGATATGTTGGATCATTCGAAACTGCACAAGTATATAAGAATAAATATATATGCCAAAATAGTGAAAGGTATTTGGTTTCTCTGTCATGAAACAAAATAAATCCGACTGAGTACAATTTATATGATTTCTCTGTACCAATATATGGCAGCTGTATTAGGACAGATCATTTGAAGGATCTATTTATTGGAACTCAACCGGATTAGTTTCTTCATTGGATCCTTCTGTATGGTAAAATTCTCTTTATTGGAACGCAGTAGAGATTGTATAACTTTACAGAACAGCGAGACATATTCTCTAACAACAGTTACGGAGTCATGTGACCCGTTTTAGATGTATAGAATCATGTAACTGAAATAGTAGTACATCTTCAATATCTTGCCTCCTGCTGAATCTTACATAATTTACTGGATTGCTATGCAATTATGTTAAAGTGACGCGTGTAAAATTTTCTCTAAGAATGAATCATATATTCTGATTTCCAACATATCCGTGGAGATAGTGCCTAGGCAGGTGCAACCCACCTTAATTCCAGGTAAAGCTGTTGGGGAACGTTGCAGAAAACAAAATTTTCCTACGGTTTCACCAAGATCCATCTAGGAGTTCATCTAGCAACGAGTGATCGGATTGCATCTACATACCTTTATAGATCGCGAGCGGAAGCGTTCAAGGAACGGGGATGAGGTAGTCGTACACGACGTGATCCAAATCACCGGAGATCCTAGCACCGAACGGACGGCACCTCCGCGTTCAACACACGTACGGTTAGCGCAACGTCTTCTTCTTCTTGATCCAGCAAGGGGGAAGGAGAGGTTGAGGAAGATGGCTCCAGCAGCAGCACGACGGCGTGGTGGTGGTGGAGCTGCAGTACTCCGGCAGGGCTTCGCCAAGCACTATGGAGGAGGAGGAGGTGTTGGAGAGGGAGAGGGAGGCACCAAAGATCAAGGTAAGAAGTCCTCCATCTCCCCACTATATATAGGAGGGCCAAGGGGGGGGCGCCGGCCCTAGGAGATCTAATCTCCTAGGGGGGTGCGGCCAAGGGGAGGAATCCCTCCTCCCCAAGGCACCTAGGGGTGCCTTCCCCCTTTGAGACTCTTCCCCTTTGAAACCCTAGGCGCATGGGCCTCTTGGGGCTGGTGCCCTTGGCCCATGTAGGCCAAGGCGCACCCCCTACATCCCATGTGGCCCCCCGGGACAGGTGGCCCCACCCGGTGGACCCCCGGGACCCTTCCGGTGGTCCCG